AACAGGCTTTTACTCAGGCTCCACATCCACCGAAACGGCAAACCTCACACTTTCTTCTTGCTTCGTTCCCTTCCTTCCTCTTTTCTCTTACGGTCTCTTGCACGTCATCCCTCCTTAAATACACGCCCCAGATTTTTGCACGCTGCTACAGAACCAGACCCGTCTGCTCCCGAGGTTCCGGCAACGAACAGGAACAAAAAAACCCAGACAAGTTAGATCATGTTGGGGGGGGCGGGGGCAGAGGGGGACGCTGGATTACAAGACCTCCACGCCAGTGCTCATCTCTGTTTGTCTCAGGTGGCTCATGGCGGGTAAACAAACCAACCCCCGCCCCCACGGCAATGGCAGACCTCCAATTCCTCTTCAGCCGCAAAGTGCTGGCTCACCCCCAAACCCCACCACGAACACCCCCATCAGCAGCCCCCAACCCCCCAGCTCCTGGGGGAGACCCGGAGCATGTTTCCTCTGACGGCAAAGCGCTCCGGGCCGAATTCTGGGTCACCAGCTCCCCAGCCGTCGCTCCGAAACCGGGGCAGCTATACAAAGACGGCGCCACGAGCCGCTAAAAGCGTAGCCGCGCCACGTGCTCGGTCGGCCCCTCCCTCCAACCCGCCGCGCTCCTGCTCTGCCGCTGCTCTACTGCCTCGTAGGGCCAGACTACCAAGCAGACCATCTATCAACTAACTTATTTTAAAAGCGCGCATTTGGACACTTTGCTGCATTAAACACACGACCTTACTGACACTTACTGTTATGGCTGGAATATCCGGTCGACACCCCTCCCCCTCCCAGCCCTGGAAGCCCCACACAAACACACCATCGCCATGAAGGCTTCCACACGCACATGGCGAGACAACAGCACCTCCAGACCGTACTCATTAAAGACACAAATAAAATAAATCTGTCAACGGCATAAAAGGGCAAACAGTACGTCTATCACAATGCCCATTACGGACGGGCCTCAGCTTAAATTACAGAGCACCTCCGAGGATTCTGGGTGAAAACAAAGAAAAGGAGGCGTGTGACCCGCGATGTGACAGTGCCATTGTCCGGTTAATGTCTGCTTTCATTTCCAGCTGGCCCTTGGGTGTAAACAGCGTGAAACACTCCATTCAGAGAGATCCAGCGATGAGGCGTCATGCCAACTCCCGCCAACACGTGTGTCTGGGTGCGCTCGCACACACACGCGCTGATGCTCACACATGCACATTTCTTTCCAGGCACTTTCTAAACACCTAGGTTCCCCTCCTCGGTCAGTTACATCTGCAATTTTCTGTGTCGAGTGAACCTGTTTCACTCCAAATTAAAACCTTTTTTTTCCACCCTCCTCTGCCTCCCAAACTCACTTCAGAGGGTTCGACGTAGCCTCCAGACGGCTCTTGCTCAATTAATGAAACATCAACAAGCTGCCTCTGCTTTATATGGCGAGGGGGGAAAAAAACACATGAAGAAAAACTGTTAAAACGCGCAGCTAACGAGACACGACACTGCGAGCCGGCTTTTAAAAAAAGGAAAAAGTCGTGTTTCGGATGAATTTCAACACCTTTCGAAGGGTGTCACACGTTTAGAGGAAGAGCCATTCGGGAATTACACATTTTCACGCTTCTTGGAGCTGGAGGGGGGCAGGTCCAGGAAACGGGGGCGCCGTGGAGTCAGAGTGTGGGCCGGACGCCCCGTCGGGTCACTCTAAACACGCGCCTTTCGGACCCGGACGCCCTCTCGTACATTTTTCAGAGGACAAAGATGGCTGTTTGGGGTTGGGGGGGGTGGGTGGATGATGGAAAAGCTAGAAGAAATAACAGAATAAGAGCCCCTCCCAAATATAAACAAAAAACAGAGCGATTATCCACAGGGAGGAGGGGCGACATCCAAAAATGTTATCATCTGAGCAGACAGGAAGTGTCTGCCGATAATGGTTGTGTGAAATAAAGCTGGTGCAACACTATGGACTCATCAAAACACACACACGCGCGCGCGCGCACACACACACACACACACACACACAGTCCTGCTGGTACCACCAAGCACCAAGAACTGCAGCCCACCCTCAGCTCTGATTACAGGATAAACACAGACCCCTTCCCCAAGCGATCAGGGGGGTGGTAGACATCACAGGCCCTTTCCATAGGATATCGGAGGATAAATTTATATCACATGTTCCATCCTCAACTGATTTGGGGGGGGTGTGTGAAAATGACAGCCCCCTCCCCGCAAGCGATCGGGGGCGGGGCTAAACGTCACAGGCCCCTCTCGACACAGCATTTCTGAATGGCATCAGTCAGTACAACCTTCAAAACAGTCTTACAGCCAAAACACATACAGGTAGCAGCTAGCGTTTGCCACTAAGATCTGTGTTTGTTTTTCTAACGTGGTGAGGGTGGACCTGGAACGTCTCCCAATCATAACAGGGGCTGTTCCTCATTGCCACAATGCAGGGAAAGGGCCTTCACAATGGCCCCTGGAAGCCAGCGCCTTCCTGCTATTAGACCTCGTGCCGCCAGTTCCGTGATGCAACTTCCTGCGGCTCGACCGAGCCGTCTCGCTGCGACGACGCAAGCTGAGGGGACCTTAACCACTGCGCCGCCTGCTGCAGGAATGCAGAATAAGGCAGCAGGCAAATGTGAGGTACACAGAGGCTTCTGGAACTGTGTATAACTACCATCGAGTCTCACGTGGGGAGCGGACACAGGCATGCCAGAGGGGGCAACAAAAACTGTGGAATGTGGGCAGGTGTTTCCCTGCGCCGATTACAAAGATAAAAAAAAAAACACACACCACAGCAGATCTCATCCAGTCCCCCCCCCACCCCCACCCCCACCCGGCTCATGACAGCAGAGGGAATCCAGACCGTCATCGGATCATGCTGGCGGGGGAGACGATTGCCTGAAATCGGCCCAAGTCAAAAAGCCTGAAGATTAGCAGCTGCTTACGTTCGCCTAAGCGGACAAGCGATTTAGGTTAACTAGGATACAAGAGCTAATAAATGGAAATAAATGGAGTCCAGCCCAAAGGACGGGCTGGACGGGAGGTGGACATTTCTGTCAGGAACCCACTGTTCACCCCACGCACCCCCCCCCCAACCCCGACACCCACTGCCACAGTGATGTCTTCAGATACCAGCGGGGTGCGATGGTAACATTTCAGCAGGCGTGCTGATGTACGACACACACACAGGACCCAGTACAAAGGAGCCATTGCGTGTTCTGGACTCACAGTCTCACTCGTTTATTCGCCAGCATAAATATTTAATGTGGGAGCAAAATGACCATGTTACAACACAATTACAACGCGGTAAAATCACAGTATTAGGCACTAAAAAACTCACAGCAGTGAGAGAATTCTTATATTCAGCATTCATGTCATTGTGTCTGCCCATTCCAGTTCAGATCCATGCCCTGTGACGCTGTATATGCCCACAGAGTGAACACAGCATGTGTGGACAGTGCCCCAGTGATGGCAGGTGTCATGGTGTTTGTGTGTCACTAGACTGGAGGACGCATCACGATCGGGCCCTTCCCCAGCCACCGACCCACACCGTCCCTTACAAGCCCCCGAAGCCAGCATGAACTACCTCATTACCGGCCCCCAGACCTCCATTAGAGATAACGGCACAGGGAGGGGAATTAAAAGGCTCTATCCACCACCATCATCAGCTTTAAGTTTAATTTCAGATTACCCAGATATTAAGACCATTTTGCCGCTAAGCCGGGGCGGCACATCACATCACAGTATGACTCGAGGATGTCATTTTTTCAACAATGCGACCAAAAAACAATGCATTTCCACAGACGTCAGTTTTAAATCAGTTACATGTCTTAGCCTTGTATTATGACAGGAAACACAGTTGACCCCTACGCATTTCAGATATTTATAGAAATATAATTCGTGTGCCGCCGAGGGAAAAGAAATCAAGGTGAAATTTCAGCGCGGTTGCAAAACGGGGCACACGTAAACACGGAGTAGGGGAAGAGTAACGCCATTTGCTGGGAGGCTCTCTTACTCCAGTGCCAGGCTAAGGAGGCATCGTGCTCCCTGCACGCCTGTATCCGAGCAGCCAAAAGCGCCTCGCATTTCTGCCGTACTGCGCCTTCTTAGCAGGAGACACCAAGTCATCAGAAAAACTGAATTTACCCGGCTGCGCGTCAAGTAAGAAAATAAAGCGGTCAACTGATCGTCAATGAAGAAAACAGGCCCTTCCAGGAAACATATTTTGAGTTTTCACAAGCTGGCGTTTAAGTCATCCGAAGAGGAGCATTATCCTAAGCAAATACGTCCCGCCAGGAGCACAGAAACGCAGACTGGTATACCATTTTCTCATACAGTAAGCAGTGATGATTAAAGAATTGCCGCGGTGTTCAAGATGGAAAAATACTGTGGTGCTTTTCTAACTCGATCGCAGTTCAGAGGATTTTTACCAGCACTGTGTAATAAGGTGTACGGTGCGTGTGACTGACACACCTGCCAAACTGACACGCGATGATCTCTGCAAAATTATCCGCTTTTAAGCGATCATGCATCCCGCCTCACTTTTAACCAACGTGATGGAAACCTCTGCATCCACCCAAGACCGTTTCATTGTATTTGTTTGTTTTTTCCAGAATCACGTTTATCCTAAGTGTTGCAACAGCTGTCCCGCCTTGTCTGGGGAATCTGGCCCGGGAAGCACGGCGAGTTGTCTGATAGAGACGGCACAGTTAGTGCTACGGGAACAGGGAGGTGAGAGTGTGGATTACCCCCTATACCCTGCACACTCGCGCGCACGCGAACACACACACACACACAGGCGCGCACATGCACTCACTCACTCACTCTCTTTCTCTCACACACACACACACATTTACTCACTTTCACACACGCACACGCATGCAGACATGCACACACCCCTCCCAGACGCTTCCATCGTGCAACACTCGGAGACCAGCCTCTGTCCGCCTTTGAAATCAGTCTCCGGGGCGGAGAGAAACCGGACGCGTCCTTCGGATCCCCCTCCGGAAACTCACCGTTGCGCCGCCGTTCGTCGCCTCGCCTCGCCGCCTCACTCGCAGGGACCTGCACGGCTCTGGGAGATGTTCATATTGGTCGGGCCGGAGCAGCCAGTTAACTCGGCTTCACACGGATGCACTACGGGACTGGGGGAGTACAGCCTGAGCGGCTCTCCGGCGAACACGCCAATCGGCACCAAGTCACGCCTCCGGGGCGGAGCGGCCAAGGAAACCGTGGGAGGGACACGAGGAGTGAAAAATGCACACATAACAAACGGAAGACGAGCCGTGGCATCCGTTTTATCTTCTGTAAATGCGGTTGATCGGATACTAAAATGTTTCCACTATGTGTTCATCCCAGTTCAATCATTTAACCGAGATATCAGTAAATCTGCGACAACAGTTTATTGAAGGAGAATAACAAAGATTTCAGAGGACATTCACATGTGTAGAGGAGCTACTTTCAAATGAGGATTGCTGCTAGTTTTTCGGATACTTAGATAAACAAATAAAATGTCATTTTATTCTATTCGGTTAGTAACTTTTGCAATGTTATGTCGTTAATTAAAGCAACTGGCATAGTAAATATTAGATAAACGGAATAATTATTGCTAATAAGTTAACAATAGTTTTAGCTGGGAAGCTTAGCCGTAATTTTTCACTATGTCTGTTATGCTAATGGATCGTAGCCCGGCTTGGACAACTAATAATTTTTGAACATCTGAAATACAGCTGACTTTGGAGGCCCTTTTGAAACATCCATGTTCTTAAACAAAGTATAATGTATAATTTATTAACTGAAAGATTCAATGATGCTTCAGTAGTCATTATGTGTTTGAATGGCATTGATTGACCCCGTTAATTAACAATGGTTAAAGAAACATGGCAACTCAAATCAGTGTTACGTTATAGCCAGCAGCCCTTGACATGACGTTCAGTTCAGGAAATATGTGATTTGGTGCAAAGACTTTGTCACATTCTGTACATTATGTATGTGTTTGTATGTTTTTGTGATGCTACTATTAACCTGCAATTTTCGTAGCAATTAATAACGTTAGGCTATCTATCTATCTATCTATCTATCTATCTATCTATCTATCTATCTATCTATCTATCTATCTAATGTAACATATACCAGGAGGTACCAGGAGGATCCACATGGTGGTAAAATTACTTTTCTGATTGTTTAGAAATAGCTTTGGCGAAAGAATGGCATTGAGATACAAATGGACACCGCATGCTTGCAGAAGAAACGCCACGGCTATAATAAGCTCGAGGGATTCCAGTGTTCAGCGAAATTAATGCCATCGCCATGTGTCTCAGTATGTCAACAATGGCAGCAATGTCCCCCGGGCCCCGACAGCCAGCACAACGCTGTCTCAATTATGATATCGTCCAGGACTCTGTGAGGAATCCTTAACGCACTGGTGTGTTTTGTTCGAATAAATAAACCCCCAATATATAGTATCTATGCCCTCGGAAGGTTGTTGCCCTTTGCCAATCTAATTTACCCAAAAAACTAGGTCAGCCATGCAGCATTGAAGTAGTCAACATATGCCCCCACCCTCACTTGCACGCCGCACGCCTCTAACCCCTCACCACACACGCTAGTCTGCCGCATCCACTCCGCATCGCTCCCAGGACAGTGCTTGGGACCACGTGCATATTTGATATTTTCCCTGTTTCTCACGTTAAATCGGCAACAATGAAATGCGATGGAGCTGGCGGAGAAGACGGTTATGTCCTATAAAATACGCTCACCTCGCGCGATTCACCGTCGGTTTTATGTGCCGTATAAAGCTTTAATAAAATCAGTACAATAAAATGTTACATTTCTAAAATGTTTTTTTCAGACGCTAGTTATTTATGCAGCTAGCATTGCAACATGGCTTTGGCACATTTCATGAAACATACTTATTCTCCAGACTATAAGTGCATTTGTCAAGACAGTTCATGCAAATGACAATTGACTTATGTCTCAAAAGCAAATAATTCCACCAATGAAATAGTCAGTACCACCAAAATGAAAAGTACAATCCGCATCGCTTTAACCATGAGAGTCAAAATGCTTAGATATGTTGTCAGTATGTCAGTGTAAGTCTGCTCCTGAGCTCCACAATGCTGAATGAGAGTCCGTTCTAACTCTCCCATTGTCACTGACTGATCGTTCTTTCGAAAAATCACATTTATTCATGCAAAGATACCAGTTTCAACTTTGCTACGCTCCATATTACAGTATGTAAAGTTCACAGTTGAAAGAAAGCACTTGCATGCATTTTTCAGATCTCCAGACAATACATTGAAAATTTGGTTAACTGTTTTGCATGTGGTGGCTCATAGTTTTACATATATAATTTGGAGTACAAAATTATTGCAATGGAAAATTACATAATCCACTTTGGCCAACAAAACCAAAGTAACTGAAAATTATGCAAAATGACGACAATGATGCAAAACTATTTGCATACAAGTACCAAAACATTTGGAAATTTGTGTGAGGCAACGAGTAATGATGTTCTACTATGCAGACGTGACATTATAGCGTGGGGATTGCACTTGTTGTTTTGTAAATGTGAATTGTCATTTGAGAAATGCTCCAAACCAATCAAAAAAAACAAACTGATACAATTTAAATTACTACAGTGTCTTTATTAGAGAATTCACTTCAGAGCACTCTGAATAGGCAGACTTGCCTCCCATGCTGGGTAACCCCTGCCTTCGGTCCAGCACCTAGGTTCTAGATTCATCGAGACCCCATGTTGTACTGGATAAGCGGTTATCAATAGTGAATTGTAGTGATGGCCAAAAGGACACCTCATGAACCGTTTGCAGTATTTTTTAAACGCACTAGATGGTGCTCTTGGTGAGGTCAGAAAATACATCAAATGGTTCATGAAGCGTCATTTTTGCCACCACTAATGGAATGATGTTTAGGTGTAGTTTGAAAAGGGAGAAAAAGTTATTGCAATAGTACAAAGTTTATGCCTTTTGACTGACAGTTTATGAAGCCAGTAAAAATTGATTTAATTCTGATCAGATTGGATGGAGAAAAAATGGAACACATCAATGCTTCCATGTAAATTTTAGAAACAAAGACAAAGGGAGATAATGTATTTGGCAGGGTAGTGAACAGGAGTGGTTCATCCTCTGGTAGGGTAGTTCTGATCCAAGAGCATATGTTTCCTGAAGCACATGGCATCACATTAGACATGCAAGGTCTCTGGCGCTCTCACGTTCTCATAACATCAAAGTCACCAGCTGGAGACTGACTACAGAATGTCTCAGACACACTCTATTATCTAAAATGCCTGTAACATACATTCTTACTAATAACATCACTAATGTAGTGCATTGCCCTGTGATGCTGTCCAGGAAAAGTTGGTGGAGAATGTATCGATGAACACATAGGATTCTGAAAGAAGATTTAGTTGCCCTTAAATTCTCTAAGTGATCCATTCATTATTTACTATAAGACATAAGCTTTGGACCAAATGCATGGATATCTAGGTTGTGGTGAACCAGGAGCCTTTCTGTGAGAGCATAGGACACCTGGCAGGGGGACATCTTGGACCGGAGCTCAGGACATTGACACATACATCTAAAAACTAGGGCAATTTAGAGATGTCAGTTATCCTGACTTCCTGTCTTTAACTGCGAGAGGGAACCACAGTACCTAGAAGAAACCTACACAATATGGGGAGGACCAGGAAACTCCAAAGACACATCAGAAGTAGATTTCATACCCCCCAAGCTGGGAAGCAATGGTACAACCCACTGAGCCACCTTAACTTATAAACAAATCACCATATATATGAGCTGATTCCTAGAAAGCAAGAATTATCCACGTCAACAGCTGTGGCTTTTCAGAATCCCAATGACATACTGTCACGATCTCAGCTGGGACTCATCTTCGGTAAATATGTCTTCATAAATTGACAGAGCTCATTCAAAGAGCTGCAGTAAATGAACCGTAAAACATTTTTCTCCTGAGAAGTTATCTGATAGACAGTCCACATGTGGTGTAGATCCATGCTAAGGGTAAACCTCAGCCTCAGACTTACAGCTTCCCCCTCCGAGACAGGCAAGGCATGTCCATTGGGGGATACAGTACTCTATTTTAACTAATTTAACTTGATAATATTGATTTTCTGCATGGGTGCATGAATTCCTCCCTAGGGGTACATGGATGAGGCTTGACCTGGAGAATCCAAGAGCAGCACAAACTTTGCTGAAGGATAATCTCATGCAAAGCTGGCTCTCGCAGAACAAACCACTCTCTCACAGGCTGATTCCCAGCTTGTTTTCAGTGTTTGGGCTCTTTGTTTCGGTCGCTGGATTGCAGCAGAATAACAATGAAAAACAAAGTCACATGTAGCCTGCTTGCCAAATACGCAACCGCTCGGCCCACGTTATTTCTGGAGAGGATCTGAAGACACCAAGCCCCTTATCGCTGTACCTGTCAGAAATCCACTGCATCGAATGCGAATAAACAAGCATCTGACCTGCTCCACATCCAGAAGATGAATGATGGAGTGGTAAGATGTTTAAGACCTTTAAGGGGCTAAAAATAGCTTAAATTGTTATGGGGAATTACAGGTAAATATTCAAAACAGAAACGCACCTATATCTCAGTCATGAACGAAGGACATACTTGTTCTCCATCACGCTTAAACAAATGTGTGTCAGGTTGGCATCTGATTAGTTGGACACTGGTTGGACAAACTGGTCTTCCGAGAAGAACAGATGTAACTTCACCTGCTTCGGTGACCATGCCTGGTTACCTAAGAAGCTATACATGTATCCTTTTCATTCCTAAGGCTTGCTCCAGTACCTACAATGCATCATTCTTCCATATGTAAATAGACCAGAATTAAAAAAATAAAATTCGTGTTATGGGTCCTATGAGCTCCAGGGCTGCGGTTTTAAAATCCCACCTTTGATGTGTGTGTGCAGCTTGATTGTTCTCCCCATCTCATGAAGGTTTCTTCCAGATACTCAATTTTCTTCTTTCAGTCCAAAGGCATGCACTTGGGTTGACTAGCTGCCCTAAATTGCTTGTAGTGTTTGAGTGTGTGTCCTACAATGACCTCACATTCCATCTGAGGTGTATCCTGGCCTCGTGCCCTGCGCTGCCTGGAGTAGTCTCCTGGCCCCCCTATGACTCAGTTCAGGTTAAGAGGTTGCGTCTCTGTATCCAACACAAAGTCCTCTCTCCTTTATTCCGAGCGTTAACCGATTAGCGGACTTTTCGGATAGAAGCTGTGAAACACTGCCACCTGTTGTTCTGTTTAAAATGTACATGTAGCATGTGGCAAATCAAATATTTAACACATCTGGGGAGAATCCTCAGGATAGAAAAACGGAATACAAATTTTCTACAGAACGAAAAAACAAAATTCATTACACAACGACAATCTCCTTTTCCAAAGAAATATAACATACTGAAAGTGAGATTTTTTTGTGTTAATGGAGTAAACAACATAAATGTCGACTGACTATGAAAGTTAAAGCACCCGTCATGTAGAAACTGCACCATATTTGTCTTTGTTTTTAACAGGAATGTAAAAGCCCCTGTTAGCAGTAACAAGAGAATGAAAAATCTCAGGGTTGGTTTCTCAGGGTTGTGGTGATATGACACCCTAAAGGGGCGGGGCTTGTATCTCCCTAAACCCGACCGCTGTCCTGCAAGAGCGTCTCGCCGCATTCCTCCCGACGGACCGTTCCTTTGAGACACTGATTCAGAATCTGCTGTACTGATTACTGTGCCATTGCCTCCCAAATGTTTGTCTACAGCAGGGGTGGGCAATCTTATCCGCAAAGGGCCGGTGTGTATGCAGGTTTTTGGGATTTCCTGTAGGTCAGCTGTTCAAAGCCAGGTTTGAGGACTCTTCAGCCAATCAGTCCTCTAATTAGTAATTTAATTCGGGAGCTGCAGCGAAAACCCGCATACACACTGGCCCTTTGCGGATAAGATTGCCCACCCCTGGTCTATATCCTAGTAGTTTCAACCCTCTTCCAAACGCTGACCTTGGA